TTCAATTTGACCACATACTTTTGCAATAAACAAAAGATTATATATGCGAGTGTGTGATACATTGTTGTATAGCATTCGTACAGAATGCAATACTTTATAATAAACAATAAGTGTGCAAATTTTCGCAATTTTCGTAAAAAGGGGTACAATATTTTTGCTTTACGTATTATATACATATAGATATATAACATATAGATTTTCAAAAACAATTGAGTACGTGAGTTTGTCCCTTTATTATCAACTAGCTAATGAACTACTCGCCCGGCTTCACACGGGTGTACATGTATTATACATATAAACTTTCCTCTAGAATCACTCTATCTATTAAAAAAACCGCTTCAAAATCCGTTGCGTAGTTTTAAAGGTTTAAGCATACATAGGGACGGATAGATAGCGACAGCGACTTTGTTTTATACTATGTAATGATAATGGTAACAAATAGTCATAAAATTTGGACATTTTACAGTTTGGCCTGACTATTTAAAAGTGCTTGTGTTGAGTTTATTTGAATTAAAATTATTTCTATTTCTTATAAACAAATTGCTTGCAATTAACAAATATGCTTGTTCATTTTGTTCTTTACCATAACACAATGAGGCGTTCCAAATGATTGTTATCGCAGAATTGAATTACATTGTGATAAATAATTGATAATACATATTGAAATTCACATCCGTGTTTCAATAAAAACCTATACTAAACTATTTGAAAGGAAATATATTACAAAAAATGTTGATAGATATATGACAATACAAATTCTCACAACAAAAACCAAACACAAACAATTTTTTTTATGTATGATAATGGAATGGTGCACCCGCCTGCGCTAACGGTTTACGCTGGCGGAACACCAGTGGATGATGATAAGATGAGCATGAGGTTAGGTCAGTTAGCTCATCGTAACAAATTCACCAATAATTTATCACGATGGTTTCCAGGGGAACCGCGTGGAGGTCAACCTGATATGGTACATTGCTAGCAATATGATCATCAGTCTACATTACTAACAATCCCTTTCCTCCAAAACAAAGAATAGAATAGAATAGAAAATCATTTATTCAAATAAACTTACATTGAAGAACTTCTGAATAGTCATTACATTTTTTTAATCTACCGCTCATTCAGAAAGCTGTCTCATCACAAGAACGAGCAAAAAACTTGCGTGTTGCTCTGTTAAATAATTTTATTATTACTTTACATTTTAAGTGAGTTTAAGTGTGTGAATACAAACCACCAATTAGCACTAATTCAATTAAATACTCAAATAGAAAAAATATTGAATATATAACCAACTGGTTAAACAATTAATAAGAGGAAATCAGTCATAGTGATTAGAGCAGACCAGTCTCTACAAGCAGCACCCGTTCACGAGTATGACGGATGAGCCAGCCATCACTGCGATCGACCATATTTTAGGGAGCCCAATGACCCGGCCCACCACGCCGCCACAAGTCTGGACATTTTAGTGCATGACTACTCAAAACACTAGACCACGTCAAAGTACAAACTATTATAATTACAGGTATGAGATAAAGAAAGAAAGAAAGATAAAATATTGTGATGAAGGAAATAGCTTCAAAGGCGTAAGGTCAGTGAAATGGAAACGGTATTACAGATTTGTTAGTTATAAGCACAAAGTTTTGTTGTTCGCGAGTTCTGTATAATACAAACTTACTTGCCGTGATAAACCTTGTTCAGATCTCTTTAAGCCTTCTACCATTATTAACAATTATAAATACCTTTCACTTATATTTACTGCTTTTTAAAATTTATCGTACAATATAAATGTTTTTTATTTCCTCGGTGGTCTAGCGGTTTAACGCACCGCTTTACTTACGATGATCGCGGATTCGATTCAAATATTTGTATGAGTATAATTATTTGTATTGTTTATTATGAATGTTTCTAAGGCTTTATGTTTTTTAATCTGTCTGTTTGTACAAATTTTATACAAAAGGATTTTATTAAAACTATTTTTGTCGACTCGACTGGGATTCTTTAAATCGGAATTGTAAACTACTAAGCTGTCTGTTGGCATCTATATATTAGTAGGTGGAGCAAAAACTATGTACCTTTATTTACGAAAATTCTGCGGACGGAGTATGAAATTTCGCACACTCATACTCTATATATAGAGGAGTGCAGAATAATATATTTTTTTTAATTATGCACAACAAATACATTAATTCCATAATAAAAACATTACACACACACTACTTACCATCTATTTAACACATACACGCATATATACAGTTCAGTTTGTTGTTAGTCTGTGGTCCAAGTGAGAATAAATCTATATGGTTTGTTTAATATTATTTGTCTATAGTCTAACTGAATGTTAAATTAATTAAGATCGAATTTCGACTAGTGGTCGCCCACTAGTTACAATAAAATACTATATTAATACAGACCTATTTAATGGAGCTATATGATTGTCATATTCGTCGTGCATAATAAATACAGTATATAACCAGAGACGGTAAACAGCAAAGATGATGCCGTCGGCCACAAATGTTTGGACGGTGGCCAAAATAATCAAGTAAAGGAAGAACAGTTATTTATTATATTCCGACTTTTTATTGACCATTTCCGATAAGTAATTCGCATTGCAATTGACCTCGGTCGATAAGTGGCCCGTCATATTTAATAATCGCTGTCATTCTGACGTTTACAGCCTAGTGTTTTACTGTTGTTGTTTTGTTAAATATGTAGACAGAAGAAAAGGTACAGTCCATATACAGCCATGAGTATTTAAAAAAACTAGCTATAACCTGCGAGCTTTCTTTTGATTTTTTTAAAATAAAAATAAAAATAGCCTAAGACGTCATGATGTCTTGAAAACACACTGTGTGTTTTCAAGTTCAGACGTTATATCAGTAAAAGGTAACAAACAAACAGACAAATAAGACTTTTTTATTTTTATATTATTAGTAAGAATAACGGATAAAAATACTTAATTAAATATATTTGAAATGAAGACGGTAAAGGAAAAAAACTAGTTGGGATTGAGTTTCGTTTATTTAAAAGTACGAATAACTAAATATCGGATAACAGTTTACCTTTATTCTTGTTTACAGGATATTTTTAGTTATTTACGAAATAAGTGGGTATCTAACACTAAAAGAATTTTAAAAATCGGTTCAGCAGATCCAGAGATACAAAACTCAGAAACTTTACTTACCTCTTTATAATATTATTATACTATAGATTATAGACCTATGATGATACTTAAACACATGTTTTAAATATTCTTGTAGTAATACCCTTAATTTTAAAGTACTTAAGGATTTAAAGTAATAGGAATATAACCGCAACATGGAAGGAAATTACGATCGAGGCCACACATGCTTAGGATTAGGAAACCAAAAAAGAGCGTGAATCATTAAGCAATGTAAATATTTATGCTTGTTCTAATTACAGCGCTACCTTGGATATTCGGTCGATGTTTGAATGAATCAACGGTAATAATACAGTTGCCTTAATTTTATTAGATTTCAAAGTAATCAACGGTAAGTAAAAACTTGTACAAATCCGTAACTAGGCGATTAAAACTTTCTTTTAAATGAACTAAATAGATTGAAGAAGAAGAAATAGTTCAATAGCTAAAAGAGAATTTAAAATGTTTACGAGGTTCCATACAGTAACAGATAGTAGTAGGTAATTCAAGACTGTTTCTGTCGAAGTATCGCGAAGTATATTATGTCATTTTTTAAAGTTATCAAATTATTTGTTTGCAAATCCAACAATACAAAAGAAAAGATTAATTTATAGATCTTTTTTAAGAAAGCAAATTTATCATGGGAAGTAAATATTCTGGACTTCAAATTAAGAATAAATTTAGCGCTATTTTTAAAATTCAAATAATATGAGAATTGAATAAATTTTGAATTATGTTTAAATTTCGAACATTATTAAAATTAAATAAAATCAGCGCTATTTTTTAAATTAGAACATTATCAAAATTCTTCACAATCACAACTTTATATTCGTCACTTCAATATAAAATATTTGCATCTTTTTAAAATTGGAACATATGTTGCACCGTTACGAACATAACAATGTTGTGTGGTCTGTGGTGACAAGAATGTGGTCGTATTTTGTAGGTATTATTGAATTCGTATCGCCTGTGGGCGAAGACGTGTAGCCAATTCAGGCAATAATGTCTCATGTTTATTCACAATTTGTTTTTATTGTCAGAATTGCCATGCAAATATATATTACGCGTAATTTTTTACCTTAAAATATTAAAATTTTCATGATAATGATCAATATAGGTAACTCAAGTGTGACTGTCTGGAGCGGGACGAATAGACGTGTTTGGGGGGTTTAGTATCAAATACTACATAGGATCATAGACAAGACCAAATTCTCAATTTATAATGTTGAAAGTGTATCAATAGTGTATAATATAAGTGTATAATAATCACTTTCAACATTATTCTAAAATTTCACAACATCTACAATATAGTAACGTAAATAATTACAATTTCTATCTTGTAGGTATTAGAGTGCGAAATGCAGATAAACAATGCTTTTAATCTAGTCACCTAAACCTACCTTCTTATAGCTATAACAAATGACGTTATACAGTACTTTGTAATACATTATAAGTTGTTTGATATGATTCATAAAAATAACATCAAAACATCTACCTACCTCATCAAACGAGCAACTAATTGGACTGTTTTGTTACAATACCCATTGCATTTTAAAGTATTAAGGTACCTAACTTTTCCTGCCATGTGTAATTAAGGAATATTTTTATATTATTAGACATCAGAGAAAAATGATAGGATATGATAGAACTGTTAATCCGGACTCGCAAATTCAGCTATGGTTACTAGAGAGGACCGTCCGAGTTGTTTATGAAATTTTACCATTGCAATGAAAATTAATACATTAACACTTCCAAGTAACAATAATATTACTAATCTGACGCTAGTCATAAACCGCGTAATCCGTGAATACAACAATCCAACTATAGCATACTTTGTACTAACCTTGCAAAAAAACGATCCGGCGTGTGAAGGACCAAACAAATTATAACTCCAAATCTAGAAGCACATTACATCCATCCAGTTCACTTTGGGACAACGTTACACAGGACGGGCACGCTGCTTAAACACACACATCACATTTTGCACTTTGCTTGCGATAAACAATAAACGTGGAATAACAGAGCGTATCCAGTTAGTGGCTTCGAACGTTCCCTTTGGCTGACACAGAAACCTGTAACTGATATTTTTTAATTTTATGTTCGTAGACTACGTACGGACGCAATCTCGTAATGAGCGATACGTCGATTCACGACGCGAGCGGTCGACCAACTGAGGGGTCGGAACTCGGTTCGCGCCGTGCAGCGATTGAACGAACGCCGCGCATCGCATGGGGCGCTTTGGGCCGCGTGCAAGTCCCTTCAAAATAATTTCTCAACCCATAATTGTTATTATAAATTGTAACATTTTAATATAATGTTAATTTTATTTATTAGTCTTCATTCACAATATCAAATGCGTATAGGTACGGGAAATTTTAAGTTACGACTCATTGTGGTGGTACAGTCATCATCATATACCTAAATAAAACATAGTAATATTACTAATACCTACAATTAATTCATGAACGAACTGTGTCTGTACATAAAAAACAATTTCTATTCGTATTATGTCCGTTATAACAAGATATTATTGAATCAAACATTTAATTAAAATGAATTGAAAATATCAAAGTTTTTAAGTAAGCTTATTGCTTAACGCTATTATTTATCTATTCTTAATTTTTTTATATTCACTGGATTGGCAACCAATCCCACGAGATGGAAAGTGACCACCTATAATAATAATAACCCTGGACAACCCACACAGGGCCATCTAATATATATTTTTTGTAAATACATAAACAACATACTTAGGAAACACTCAGATAATAAATGACGTAAACAATCATACACATGACTTTTTTTATAGCACAGGGGACAAATTATTTTAGCGGCTCACCTGATGGTATTTTTAGCTCACCAGACTATATTTCTATTATTTATTTAATTCATTTTATTTCTTATCTTCTGTTATTTTTAATTTCTGATGATGATGATATTAACTACATCAGCCGCGATTTGATACGGCAAAAGTTTTACTTGTTTAATGTGTTCTTTTGGAGGGGATGCTAATCACCCAATGGTAAGTGATTACCGCATACCAAGAGCTCCCGCTACACCAAGTGAGTTGCAAGTGCGTTGCCGGCCTTTTGAGAAGGAATAAAGGAAAAAGCCAAATAGCTTGTCCAAGCTAATTATTATTATTGTATGTAGTTAAGAAATGGGTTACAAAAATAATATTAACCCTGGACAATACATACAGCGCCATCTAGATTCAAGCTAAGCAGAGATTATATTACGGAGACTAGACAACTGATATAAATACCTAGTTAACTGGGTTGGATTTTTTATATGTAAATATGTATTTAGTAAGATATATTAACTCTATGTACTAGTAAAAGTATGTATTATAATAAAATAACTATATAGCATTAATTTAACTAAGTCTCTAACACAATTAATTCACTTTAGCATTTAAAATACACACATCCTGTGCTCAATGACAGAATTCTGTGGCTTACTTTAAAAACCCATATGCAACTAGTATAACAATACCGAATAATAATGAAACTACCTTCTTTTAATGTTTTTAAAATATCAGATTTTTCGGCAATATCGATGTGAACCCTAACAATATAACATAGAAAACACCCAGAATTATATCATGAATACAAATGTTTATAGTGTTTGAGGAATCAAACCCGCGACCATCGGAAGTAAGGCGGTATGCTAAACCACTAAGTCACCGAGGCCGCCAAATATTATCTTTCCACCTAGATATATACACTCCAGAAGAGCATTCATTTGACAGGATTGCTATTACTACGCAATAGTAAATAACAATCGTGTGAAATTAGTAAAGTTTATGGGTCCCGCAGAATAGGCACCAAATATAGACGTGCCATTAAACATAGCGCTTACTCGGGTGAGCGTTTACGAGCCATTTGTAATATTACATTGTCCTTCACATCTATGTACATTATATATTACAGAAGTTATATGTAATAAATGATGTTCACTATATTGTGTTGTAATCTTATTACACGGGAGTGGAAGGGGACTGTAGTAATGTGGAGTAATGAACCATGCAATTTAAGTCATATGCATAAACCGTTATATTATACAACGAAGAAGGTCGAATTGGATTTTAAAAATGGAATATCCAGATTTTAATTTTAAATGTGCACTATTCATGTAAAATATTTAATTCCGAATGAGGCTTTGTAAAGATTAATTTACTGCCAATAAGATTTATATTCGAAATTTGAAAAAATATTAGTAACATGCATAAACCGCTATACAACGAAGGTCGATTTGAGTTTTAAAAATGGAATACCCAGATTACAATTTTAAATGCATATTTGATTCCGAATTAATCTATATAAAGATTAATTAACTAAACCTACTAATATTTGAATTCGAAATTTGAAAAAATATTATTTATTTTTAAATAAAGAGCGTAGTGCAAGTGTAAGGTATTTGCAATCAATAAATAACTTTATTGCCATAATTATAAAGCTAATAGTTAAATAGTGAGAGACACGTTTAATTTCGTACAAATAAAAGTATATACGCCTTGTCTACCTCTATCCTTGTCTATCATGTACAGCCCTATTTTTTTTTACATTATAAATGTACTACTATAAAGAGCCAGGCACGTACCAGTGTACAACATAGGTAACCTATATATAAGATATATTTTAAAATACTACACGGATACGCCCGTTTCCTATTATTTGCAATTTTTATGGCGCCGGCAACAAAGAGCTTACCGAACGGAACTTACTATTCCTGAGGCATACGGTGCACATAAAAATATTTATGGCTCCCCCAATCTCCATCTATTACTACCTATCATTAGGTATTGTAACAAAAAGAGACAACACGACGTTGTGCATAGCGTCGGAATCGAAACAGTGATATAAAAAGTTTTTTTATAGATATTTAGTAATGCATTTTAAAATTTCATCTTCTCCATACAAACTAAAGTACGATACGTAAGTATTATTGACGACCTCGGTGTTCTAACGGTTTAGCAGACTGCTTTACTCCCAATGGTCGCGGGTTCGATTCCTCGCACGGTACAAACACTTGTTTTCATTGTTTGTATTTTCTATGTACATTATCACAAGAGCTCTGCTTAACTTGGGATTAGATAGCGTTGTGTCAATAGTCTAGAGATAAAATTGATCTAAGGATTAAATTATTTATTTACATGTATTGGTTTATATAAGCCGCGAATTTAGATGTATATTATACATAGTAATTTATTAAAGTTACGCCTTCAACGTGATAGCTTTATTACACTCGGCGGGTTATATAAATTATATTTAATTTAATTTAAAGCGACGTTCTCTCGCTCTTATTTTAATCTGCTGATTTTATGTTTATTTTTGTATAATTTTAGCAACTGTAACTGTACTACGTACGTGTATGCACGTATAACCTATACGAGTTCGCTAAATAAAAAAGGTGTTCGAAATTTAAATTTTTATTTGCAAAATATCAGAACTGTTTTTGTGCGAGCATTTAACGATATTATTTTATTATTCACCATCGAACAATACGGATAGTGCACAATTCTTTATCGACCGTGAAATAGCTCACAGATTCATCGCTGCATTGGACCGCAGTACTATGCCTCATAACAGATCGTATTCATGGTCACAAGCGTTGTCCAACCTCTTTGTAGTTAACTATTTAGACAATTAGTAGGTACCTACTAGTTCTAATTGAAAGTAAATAAAAAAATATGTAAATTCGAAATTCAAGTAAATTTAAATTTGGAATTGTGTGTAATGTATCGTCTTACGAGTATATTGTGGTCACAGAGCAATTAGCATTGTGTTTTATAAAAGTTGAAGTTTTGCATTAATGTGTCAAACTTGGAATTTTAAAAAAGATGATGTACAGTTTTTCATAAAATTGTTTTGTGTTCAATGGTAGACAATATCTACATAATTAAAATATAAAAACAATAGCTTGTAAATAGTCCACGGCAAAAAAAAAAGAAATTGATATCACAGTTTCATACAAAATATATTTTGTTCTAAATGACGCAATCCTGCTACAGATATTCGTGATATAAACCTTTCGTGGTTTAAATTTAGAATTTCTAGACTAGAGCCAGTTTAAAATTAAAAAACTAAATTTTGAATTTGGAATCGTTGTTACTATTGTGCTTATTTCTGATACTAGTTACCTATATATTGTACATATGTTATTTGTTATTCTTGAGCTCAAGATATTGTTTATTTTCATTTAACATGTGTTTTAAAAATAATTTTAAGCATGATTTCGTTTACAAGTCAAGATGACCATTTATTACTCCAATAATATATCAGTATACATTCTGTGACATCAAAATTATGTATTCTGTGCTCCGAGTTTCACAGCCCAAGGGCTCGTGAGTCGTCGTGTAAAATTCACAATTTCAAATCTGATTCTAACACAATGGAATTAGTACAGTTTGAAATTCGTCGCCAAACTTCCGCCGTCTTCCGTACGATTGTCCGAGTTGTGACTGATTTATCGTCTGTCGTGTTGTGTATTGTCTGTGGAAGATATATTATGGCTTGATATAAAGTATGGAATATTTTGTACCTAATTGTAAGAATATAAACATATATTGAATGAATTGTTATTTTTTAATCTGTACCTACATATAAATAAAATTGAAGTGTAAGTGTATGTTTATATTGAAATAACCGTTCTTTACTACATGCATATGAATATAAATACGGTACATTTTTGTTCAACATTTTACAATTTTTGTCTGTCTGTCTGTTTGTTCCGGCTAATCTCTGAAATGGCTTTTTTTTTAAATCATGTTGGCAAACCAGTCTAAAGTATGACGACTGGTGTTTCAGATGATCCAAAGAACATCTGATACACCAGTGTTACTTGCGCTTTTACCCTAAAGAAACTTTATAGATTGTATCATGAGGACGGATTTAGACTATCTTTTACCTTAAACCAGACGAAGTCGTATGTAACAACTAGTAAGTTAGATAGATGAATGATTTTCGGTAAAGACTATTTATCCTAATTCCAATTCTCGACGTATTAACCCAGCCATCCTAGGGTATTTTATTATCTTGTCTCAGTAAATCACTACTACAGTGTCACTGTATATCTCGGTGTTACCATCACCGGAGTGTCAGTCACAAATATAAATTTATCACATGGTTTTTTAGTGTCGGCCACATACAAACTCGTG